TATATATATATATATATATATGAGTGTAGCATTTTTGAAGTAGTGAATTAGTTCAGTTGTTTTTTTGTGAGGTCTGAAATAGGAAGAATTTGGAGGCAGAATGTTATTGAATGGGTCACTTTCTAGAAACTCTAAAAATAGACAGGAAAGAACGCCGCTGAGAGGAGATCCCATTGGTAAACCAAATTCTTGTCTGTAAAGTTGGTCATCAGTACTATATTGGCTTATCGGTCTCATCATTATTTCTAAAGAAATATTCCTTTTACAGCTTTGTTTTCATTTACTTTTTCATAGATGTTATCATCGTTAATGTTTTCTCTCATTTTCTGTTGGTAAATGTGTTTACAATTCCCTCGCCTTTATCAGAAGTATATATATATATATATATATATATATATATATATATATATATATATGGATGGATGGTTTTGTTGTTAGCTAATTCTTTCAGGGCTTTTTATCTTCTAGGAAGTGCGATGTTCTTCGTTTCTTTTTGGGATGTAGCTGTGATTAGGCCTTGAATTTAGACTTTGGTAACATCGTAGTCATTGTGGTGATGATTTTTAATTATATAATCTGTGATATTATCTTTTGGTATTCCAATGACAAATATATATGCCGTCATTGTCAAAAATTTTCCTTAAATAATATTTTTAAAAAAATGGGAGCTGGTAATATACATACTTATATTTGATATGAAAAAATAATTTTAAATAATTTAATTCTGATAGGACTGGTAGGACTAACGTTTTCCGCTGACATGAAGTGGAAAGATTCCACTGAATCGATTGCTAGAGACGCTGCTCGGAAGGTTTCTTCACTGTGTCGTGGTAGACAATTTTTCTCATCAGAATCTATCTTACACATTTATAAGTTTACCATCGGGTCATGCATCGGATATTGCTGCCACATCTGGCCTGTTGTTTCTGCTGTGTATATAGAAATTCTTGCTTTAATTCCAAAGAAGAATCTGCAATGTTATCTGGCATCTCAGCTTCAGCTACTCTCCTACTGACGTAACGTACCTTCGCTGTACTTTTTCTATAAATATTTTCACGCTAACTGTTCCTCTTTACGAATTTAAGCGCAGTACTATATTGGCTTATCGGTCTCATCATTTTACAGCTGAAATGGCAAGATGTAACTGTAAGTTCTGTCATTAACAGCTTCTCCTTTTTCGCTTCTTTCTTGGGGAATTCTTTTTCAATTAAGTGTTTTCCAATCAACTTTGATCTTCAACTGTCATCTTCTGACTAGATTATTATGTTCTTTTATTGTTAAATGAATGATTTTCTTTTTTTTCCACTTTGTCTTTCACACTCAGTTAACCCTTGTCATCTTAGAGACTTTATTGCCTTCCTTGGGATGAAATGACATATTTTTATTATTTTTATTTTTCTCAGTCCTGATGGTGTGTGGCCTTGTTGTGGTAGGACGTCTTGCATGCTTCATCGACCGCCAGAGCTATGTGAGCGTGAGCTTTGGCCCTTAGCAGGTTTAACCAACCTCAACAGGTCTATGGGGTAAAATCCAGACGAACGATACGCCCTGGTTCTCCAGGTTGAGGGCTGTGCAGTAGGCTAACAATGTACTCACTTAAAAACTACAGAAAGCACAACAATATCTTCAAACGACGACATGGCCGAGGAAGAGACTTCTAAAGTGGAGCGTATGATGCATGCATTGATATCCTCGGGAAGCCAGCGCGCTAACAACTCTTCTGGCGGCTAAGTCAACAGCCAGGATAAGGACCTGCAACATCAGAACCCTATACGTAACCAGCAAAATAGCACATGTTTGAGGAGAAATGTACAAGTACAACTTGAAGATCCTTGGTCTCTGTGAGGCAAGATGGAACGGAACTGGGTGAACAAGACTAGCGAGTGGAGACACCATCATCTACTCTGGACAAGAAGAAGATAAGTCCCACACACATGGAATAACGCTGTTGATGACCCCCGAAACAATACGAGCTCTGCTGGCCTGGGAACCAGTATCATCACGGATCTTGACAGCAAGGTTTAATTCCAAAGGTAGGAAAGTCTACGTTGCTATGCTCCAACAAATGCCGCAGAGATGTAAGATAAAGAGCATTCTAGGAACAAGTCCAAGCCATCAGGGACAAACTAGCAAAAAGAGATCTAAAGATACTCATGGAAGACATGGATGTAAAAGTGGGAGCAAACAACATCAACAGAGAACTGATCATGGACAAAAATTGCATCGTTCCACAAAACAGGAACGGCGAACATTACACAGAGTTCTGCACCATCAATGACCTTCATTGGAAGCACCATTTCCCGCTTATAGTTTAAAGGTAAGGTGTACTATATTTGGGATTAATATCAAGGTTAGAGTGTGCGTAAACATAAAAGGGAATACTTTCCTCGATCAAATTGCCATATTTATATTTTATTTCAAATTATTTCCTCTGTACAAATCTCAAGGATTTTTTTCATTATATTTATTCTGAATTTGTATTAACTGTTAATTTTGTTTT